GCACAAACAAGAACCAAATTGTTCATCACAAATTTGCATAAAAACTTATTTTAGCTTTGCGTTATACACTACTGATACAAATAATGGGGCCAGTTTGGCTATGAGGAACTGCAATCTTATCGACCTTGGAGGAATGTTCTCTCTTCTATTCGAAATAAATGAAAACCTTATACAGATGCCAGCAACAGTACCTTCTTTCAAATCAAGAAAGACAAAATAGATACATCATTATCTGAACCTCAAGTGCGCCATGCTCCAAGGTGGTGAACACCACCTAAAAAATGCCACATCAGCTTCTGTTCAAATGATTGAGAATTGAGGCCACTGGAGGCCACAAAAGATTGCATGCTTCTGACGGTGATGCTATTAAAAAGGCAATAAAAAGCTCAAATTTAAATGAATCTGTAAGGTAAAGTACTGGTTCTAGAAAGTATTTATTATGGCTGTCAAAATTTATTTAATAATAATTGCCATTTATAAAATATTTCCATAGTGTCTGTAATGAGGTTTTCAGTAATTAATTTGAAACACCATAAAAGCTCCCTCCTTCTTCTTCGAATATTGAAACTGGCTTTGAATTACATATGGAGTGTTGCAAATGATCTCATCCGAAAACACGTAGTGGCTATGAAGGGAAGTGGCAGTGGGGACTCGGAAACTGTGGATTCTGTTTCCAGCCCAGCTATGCTCCCGTGCCTACTAGTAAATTGCCAACCCTTTTGACCCTAAGTCTTCATTGAGCATTTAACTCGGAGTGATGTCATGAGCATCAGTAAATTCACACTGCCTGGAGAGTCTCAGCTGGAGCTAAACAAATGGAAAGCATTGCACATTTTCTTTCATATATTTCTAAAATATGTGAATTATTTTGCAGACATACTAAGGCGGTTTATTTTTTTCCCCTGAGACTTCAGGGGTGCGTGGAAGTAAGTGTATATGTTTGGGCCCAAAAGGTCAAAATGTATCTCTTTGCATCCATATTTTTTTTAAATTGAGAGCGAGCTGATCCCAGGTATCATTCCTGCCAATAATTCTCTGATGGGCGTATAAATTTACTGGGGAGAAAGAGAGAGCTGTGCGAGTTACACTTTCAGATCTGTCTGTGCTGATCGTGTTGGACTGCCACGGAGGAGAAATGGGACTGCGCTGCTCATGAGGCACATCAGTCCTCAGCAATCGCAATGATACTCTGCTCAATATCTGAACTATCAATTGTCAGGGAAAGCAAACTGCTGCCTTGATGGTCCGGAAGAATCCCCTTACAGCTGTCAGAAACCAAATCATTAATAGCACAGGAATCAATTTCTGCCCCTCCTCTCTGCTCAATCAGCAATATCGCGGCAGAGGAGAATTGGGAAGGGGAGAAGGCAATAGCTGAAACTTGATTCCTTAAGATATAATTTAATGTCTTCCCTCAAGTTAAGGCGAACAGTAGCATGGTCCCAATTGCTCAATGGGAGAGATCATATCAAACAATAACCGACAACAGACACAGAACAAAAGTGAAGGGGAAAGTCGGGAAAAGAAAAATTGATACAAACCAAAGGGGACATCTTGGCTGTAAAGGGCCAACTGTGGTATTCCTTACTAAGTTTTCCAAAGTTCAACAGTTTTTAAGCCATTAACTTTGGGGAATAAACAATGGTTTAACATTCTGTTTAAATGAAATTAAGGCCAATCTGTGAAAGACAACTTTTGCAAAAAGAAAATATAAAATTTTGTGTTATGACTGACGGACAGCAGACCATGCCCTAGAAACGAATGTTTTGTATGCGTGTGTATTCACTCCTTCCTAAATTACAGATGCTAAGAAATAAATAAGCACTCCTGGTAAAGACATGGATTTGTCATCCTAGGTCCGTTTAAGAAATACATAAGCTTGAAGACTGGTCAGAAGGTTTTTTCCCTTGTGACATTTCAGTTTGGCAGCATTAAACATCTGGTTGTCTTCAATGTGTATTTCCACATTTCAGTTGCATCTAAAGAAATATCCTGGATATATTAATGTTTTCTTCTGTAATAAGGAAAATAACCTGGTAACGGTTAAACTTAATTTACTGGGGCAATATTCAAAGCCTTAATTTTGGTTTACCATAAGTGCTTGTCAGTCTTTTTATTAGACATTTGAGAACAGGCAGCAGACACACGGAAAGCCCTAATTCTCTGGTTCTGTTTACCTGTGGAGTGTCCTCCACCTGTAGAAAAATGGTCCCAGAAGAGCAGGTTGTTCTTGTGCCTACTTTGCAGTCACTTTAGTAAGAGACGAGTGGCTGGGAAAAGAAGGGGAAAATCAGGTTCTGCATCTTCACCTTAAATGTGTTAATTAGCTTCAAGCCTTATTTTACTTGTAATTGTTGCGGTATTAGAATCCCCATCAGCTGACTCTTCCATCGCTCCTTCCCCGTCAACATACACATTCTCCTGATACCTTCCCAAATCTCTTCCAATCAATCCTCAAGTTTAATCATCATAAGCCAGAAATGAGGCCGATTGCGGATGTTGATTCCAACATTCTTGGTCACAAAAATGTATGTGGTGGTTTTTTTTTTTTTTGCTGCTAAAGAGTAATTGACAGCATCTGGGAATGATTAGAAAGCAGAGCAGATGGCTTGCTGTCCGGGAGCCCATACTGCCAGAAGGGGGAACCTGCTGCACGTCCTTGAGAGAGACCCAGGAGGACAAACCGCAGGAGGCTCCAGCAGCTACAAGTCGAAGTCGTTTGGGTCTTTTCAGCCTAGAGAAAAGACGACTGAGGGGGATCTTATCAATACTTATCAGTACTTATAGGGAAGGTGCCAGGTAGATGGGAACAGTCTCTTTTCAGTGGTGCCCAGTGATAGGACAAAAGGTAATGGGCACAAACTTGAGCATAGCAAGTTCCATCTAAGCATGAGGAGGCACTTCTTTACTTTGAGGGTGGCAGAGCACTGGCACAGGCTGCCCAGAGAGGTGGTGGAGGCTCCCACTCTGGAGACATTCAAAACCTGCCTGGATGCCGTCCTGTGCAACTGCTGTAGGTGACCCTGCTCGGGCAGGGGGTTGGACTAGATGATCTCCAGAGGTCCCTTCCAACCCTGACCGTTCTGTGATTCTGTGATGGGTGTCAGTCTCGAGGCCCGCACTTGTTTTTCTTTTACTTTGGTACCACTTCAGTAGAGTTATACTCTATTTGCAGACTTCCAGCTGAGAACAGAAACACGTTCGTGTAGCTATCCAGATCATTAAAAAAAAAAAATAAATCAATATTAAGAGAAGGGTCACACAGAATCACGCACACAGAATGGTCAGGGTCAGATTACTGAGGGGAGGATGAACCCTTTCCAAGACCTTGCAAACAGCGCGTGCTACGTGTTGCAGAGTGGGTGGGCGGCTGCTGCCTTGTGCCATCCAGCTCGGTGCTCCCATCAGCATTCTGATATACCTGTGCTTGATTAACGCTCCTAAGCTTTAAGGTTTAATGATGATCGACCAAAGATTTCAGAAACTTATTTCAAAGCTGCTGCACTTTAATTTAATACTGTTTACAGGATGAATGTTTGGGCACATGCAGCTTTGAAAAGGTGTAGGGTTTTTTTTTTTGGTTTTGTTTTTTCCTTTTTACATTATAGGGAACTGTCCTGGTTTGAGGTTAAACAGAACCATTTTTCTGTTCAGTAGTTTTACTTTTCAGCTAAGCCTCTTGTAACTGCGCTCTCTGAAATTGACTGGGTATTTTTCCAGCAGTATCTGCTTCCAGAGTGATAAGACCTGATTGTTTATAGTTGATGCCCAGGCATGGTATGCAGAGAGGCTTTTGCTTAAACTTACTGCTATAACAGCCAAGGGCAGCTTGGGCACACGTGCTCATACGTGCCCTGTTGGAGGGTCGGAAGTGGAAAAGCATAGAGGGGTCGCACCTGCGGGGAGGAGCGGACAGGACAGGTGACCCAAAACTGACCCACAGGGTATTCCATCCCATCTGTCTCGTGCTCAGTATAAAAGCTGAGGGATCAAAGGGGTCAGTGTCTTCCAAGAGTCCCAGGAGGGCTCTGTCTGTCTGTCTGTCTGCCTTTGATCCCTATCCTGAATCCAGGTCTGGAATCCAGTTCCCATCCGTCACCGAGTCCAGTCTGAGACTCCCCCAGTGCCCGCCGGTGATGTGACTGTCACCCTGGGAGCTCGATATTGGTTTTGTAGATATTCCATATATTTCGTTACTTTATTATTAATATTTCATTAAAATAGGTAAATTTCTTTTAAGCACGCAGTCTCTTTCTCTCCGTCCTCCCCCGCCCCCGGCAGGGCGATGCTCTCCCCCTCCGCAGGGACCGAGCTCAGACATCAACTGCCCCCCGCTGCC